TATTTATAATTAACAGCAGTAATTCACTTCAGTGGGATCAGGGTTCAGGTATTTAATGTTTCCAGTGATCCCAAACTTACTTTCTCACTTCATATATAATTATGTCTGGATTATATCTTCTAGCTGCATCAAGTATTAGCATAATTTTCATTACCTGGGCTTTGGGGTTGGGGCTTTTTTTTTTTCATTCTTCCATTAAACTAAACCATGCTAATACTGTTGACTGCTGCAAGAGAGGTTTATTCTTTCGTGCAAATGGAGAAACTGTCACAGGCAATTGTTAGGCTGATGTAAAACAGCTCGTTGAAATGTCAACCTGGAGTTACAGCAAATATGTCTCGTGAAGGATGACTTTCAATTTGCTTCCATGAACAATGTTTAATGATGCTTTGTGCAGCTTTATAAAAGCACCTTAACACCTTTCTGATCTAAACCAGAACACTTAAGTATTCCAAACCAACTGCAGACCACCCAATACCTTTGCCTGGAAACCTCAGCAATCCCATCTTTAGAGGGACATACTCTTAATATTATGAACATTTTAATTGCATTTAGATTTTTATCTCACACTCCAACAAAAAACTATTGCATTTAATTCAAGAAGTAATCTGGTAGTTAAATATTAAATAAACAGCTATTTTTGTGTATACATGCAAAGGAATTCAAAGTATTCTTGTAATCAATGCATCAATGTTAATTAAACATTAACACAGAATGACAAAACTTAGGGATAAGAGCACAAAGGTTACCAGGAATTAAACAAGTCAGGCTCTGAAAGCACAGCATTAAACTGCTTGTCATAACCATAGGCTCTTCAGAGCCTAAACCTCTACTTCCCCCATGCAGGCAAGTACACACTGGGATCCCAAAGAATTCATATACATTCTCCTAAAGCTGCAGAGCTTACTGGTAAATTCTGGAAAAATATAAACTAAAAATTATTTCTATAATTCATTTACACAGCAAAACACAGTAACACTATGATGACCATTTATGCTTTCATTTAAGCCTGGCTGAACATTGAACTCTTCTTTTGTGTATTACTAAGCAGACCCATCCTGAAAATACAGGTTATAGAAAATCCCACTCACTCTTTTTGAACCAAAGACACATACTTATGGTTGGCAAATGGCTGGCTAAAGTCTTTGGAATCTCCTGAGAAGTTTACTAGAGTAGCTTCTGACTCTCCTTCTTTCTTTACAGGGTGTAGTACAATTCAGCTCTAATTACTAGGTCGACTCTTATCACCCTGACTCACTTCAGATGACATTAATTGCCCTATTTCACTTGCAGTTTTTGAGTCAAGGCAATTAGAATTACTGCTGGCTACTGCTGTGTGAAAGGTGGGGATTTTTCAAGCAATGACCTAACGCCTAGAGCTGTGACTTACCCTATTAGGCAAGGCAACAATTTGCCCTCCCACTATCTGGTAGCTCTCCATGGTCCTTCAGTCTCTTCCATCACTTCATCCATTATGCCCAAGCTCTTTTGCTAATCAGATACTTGCAACCTCAGTATCTGTCTCTCTCTAACATATAAACAGATTTCAAGCCTAAATAATGTTTCAATTACTTCCCTTAAACTGTTTTAACACAGGCGAAGAAAAACCACTACCAACAGTAAGACTCACTTCAGAGAGGTAGGAACAAGCACCAAGGCTCAGCTGAAGAGTATCAGTGGTGCATCTATAGTTAAGAGTGCTGGCAAAACCATCTGCCCTACAGACTAAACCAGGACAGCAAAACCCAAAATACAGTTTAAACTTTTAAATGGAATTACATACAGAAATTGCATTACTGAAAAATTTATTGTGGAAACAGGATCATTATCTGAAAATCAGCTTCCCAGTGAAAAGAGAAGATAGACAGTGATGATATGCCTTCAACATCCAGCTCTGCCAGAGATTCCCTATGTGAATTTAAACAAAACATAAATGTTTTGCCATTCTCCATTTTAGAAACCAGGAGCAGCAAATACCTCTCTTCTCCCTCTCCTGCCATCTGCCTTTTTTATTTACACAGTGGTGCTAAGAAGACACACAGACATGACTTAGTCAAAACACAGGTACAGTTCTTCATTCCAACAGGAGTTCAAGATCCTGGTGACTCAGTTACCTCCCTCTTACTAGTGTCTGCAAAAGAAATAAGCTAAAGTTGAATTAAAAGGAAAGTTTTTACACTTACACTGGGAACCAAATTTCTGTTCTGTGAGGTAGAAAGGCCTAGTGACCTTCCAAGAAAAGATTTTAAAACCCCCAAATTACTACTATTTGAAGCGATGAGTCAGATCACTCCCAAGTCATGATTTTTTAGAACAAATACATCTTCCATTTTTTCTGTCATTTATTCCAGTATTACTTGTACTATTCGATCTTTATCAGGTGATTCTTATACAAGGGAAAAAGAAAGTGATAAGATTACAGGCAACTGCATGTCTAAAGACAGTGAGCAAGGAAAATAAGCAGCTGCTAAACACAACATATGTTCAAGTAACTTCCTGAATGACTTGGCAGCCCAGTTTGTTTATCCCAATTCAAATACTAAGTACCATATTAATATACAAAGGCAGCAACTTGGTTTAGTTTCACACACACTTATCTAAGATCTCGTCACTTAAAAATCAGCAGTCTTATGGGACCAAGTGCCAAATGCATTAAAAACCAAATGTACCTCCACAGATAAATACCAATGCAATGCAATGTATCTACAATTGTTACAAAACAACACAAAAAAAATTTAATTTGGATTTAGAATAGCTACTGCACTTGTTTTCAAGTAAGTACAGATTACTTCCCCAACAGTAAAGCTTGACATAGCCTACCATGGGTATCATGGGTTCTTAAAACCACTGGAACACAATCTGCAATTTCAGAAGAGCAGGATAAGTAGTCAGGCTATATTTCAACTTATTCAATGACACTGACAGAAATAACAATTCCAAATTTTTGACACAAATGCTGGCCACTATCCTTCATGAGCATCAATGTCCTAAAAAAAAAAAAAATCAATAAAAGCTAGAATAGCTCTCTAAAGATCCAAAAATTATGCCTACTGATGGAAGGACAGAAATAATAATAAGAAGACTGTGCTGACAGGGTTGCTCCTAACTTACTGGATAATGTTTGGCACAGAGCAGTATCAGTCTAGATATAACACTTGCAGAGTGACATATATGAAAAGATAAATGTTACTGACCAAAGCACAAAATTACCAGAGAATTATCTGTGATAGAATTCTTAAGTAGGAAACAGTGGCTTGACGATGCAAAGCTAGGATGGATAATTGCCATCTTAACTTCTGGGGAAAAAAACAGGGAAATTCCATGCCTCATCATCTCCTTTCTTAAAAACAAGCCATAATTTAGCAAAAATAACTAGATAAATCCAGGAGAGGTATATTGTTGTTTTTTAAAACGGAAGACTATGAAGCGGACATCAAAAGTACAGAATTTGTTTCAATTAAGTGAACAGGAATGTACAACTCCCTGACACTAGATAAGAAAATCCATGTAAGTAAGAGACTTGGTGAAAGGCACAAGTCCAGCAAACTTCTGCTGTACAGGAGTTCTGCACTTGACCCATCCTCTACAGGGAAAGGTAAAGCTCCATGAAGGCCCTTCTGAAATGATTGAATTCACTTTTAAATTGAACCCCTGAACAAGTCATGCACTTCTCTAAAAGGTTCTTTATCAGGAAACACCCTGTTTAATGACCCTCCCAAATACTGTGGAATTCAGAGACAGATAAAACTTGCCAGTGAACAACTTCATCACGTATATAAAATAAACTTCAACAGTTAGATCTTCCTCCTTCTTTGACATCCTTCCCACTTCCCTCTATTCCATGTCCTTTCTCCTCTGCAGGATAGTGTATCATTTTTTGATGAGCCTCCACTATTATTAGCCTTTCCTTGCTCACAATTAAGAAGAGTGACAAAAGTTTTTCTTGGCTGAGATTAATCTAAGATTGACCATCAACTTTCCTCATGCTATGAGGAAGAATAGGTTTGATCAGTACCAAACACTTTAAAAGAAACCTTTTTACTTCAATAACCTCTCTTTCTAAAATCTATTCAATTTTCAAAAAGTTTAAATAACTAGTGATTAGATTATGAGACATTAGTAGAGGTGTTAAATATTCCTACTCACAGCAAGCAGACAGAGCACACATTTTCCTTACAATGCCCTTTTCTTTAAAACACACATTAAAATAATTCTGTGCTCTGAACATGAGATTACCTGTGTTATACTCGAGTTCCCAGTACTTGAGAACGTGCATTGGACCACCACATTCATTCCTACATTGCTGTAGCATGCCAGAACATTCCTAAATCACCTATTTTCAATAGCTATCATGCTCTAGATGACCTGCACTCAATGTATCGATATTAATGGATATACTAAGTTGAATAATTTGGAAAGGTTTGGTTTTGTCCATGTCATTGTCATCTTCACTGCATTATCAATCACTAGAACAGGCTCCCCAGGAAAAAGGTTACAACACCAAGCCTGTTACAGTTCAAGGAGCATCTGGACAACATTTAGTCATATGGATTAGTTCTAGGTAGTCCTGCAAGAAGCAGCACATTGGACTCAATGATCTTTCCTGCAATTCTATGATTTACTTTGTAGTTACGAAGAAGGCTAAATCAATGCACACGGCCACTGAGCAGAAACAACCCTCTAGAGAATAGGGTACAGTACATTAGCATAAGCAATAATGGGAAAATAGTACTAGTAATGTCCTTAGATCATGTCTGTTCAAGAAGAGGAGCAACTTTTTAAAGAGCAATTTTTAGGTAGAGGAATGGACTATTTCCATGCATGTTCATTGGGGGAAGAAATCTTCCCCCAAAATATCTGTATTGTATCAAATAAATTATTGATTCCCACCCACTCAAATATAGTCTTTTAAGACTGAATGGATTATTTTTTCTCTCTCAGAGAGTACAAGAGCACTCAGACTCCTAGAAAAAGAAACAAAATTACAGATTACAACATACTGTAACACAAGATTATCTTTATTTCAAAATTGTACAAAGTATAAACATAAAGATATAATTACACTGAAGTGAACTCAGCTCTTTAAGTATCTGAATACTTTAGCAAAGATAACAGTCATGAAAAAATACCTTTATTGTTCCTCATAAGGAAATTTTATCTGATGGAGCGATACATCATGAAATCAACTGTTGTACATCTGGGAAATTTACCAATGGAGCTCTCCTCTACAGGGGTGTACACTTTGATTTGCCTCATGTGAGTGTCTCTTCCATTTTGGTGATTCGCTAGAACAGCAATCTGGATCATGAAGGTGCGAATGGGCTTCTTGTGGGTATCTGTTAGAGGAACATGGATCCAGCCACTGGGTTCCACTAATTCCAGTTGCTGCCAAAAACAAGACAGAAGAGCAAAACATTCAGAAAAAGTCCACATGCTTCATATAAATGATCACATATTAAACCTTTTAATAAAGCAGTCTTGTTAATCAGATGTTAATCAGGTTTTAGTTACTTTTTCAAAATAATTTGAAATAACAGATGTGAATACTAACAGCTAATTTACTGCTCACATAAATGTATACAAATTAATTTGGTTGTCTGCAGTTGTGTTGGCTTTTGCCTTTCAGAATCGATTCCTCATTTTGTGCCCTAATCTTAAAATAAAGATCATTATAAAAGAATAGAGACTTCAGTATAAATTTAAGAAAGTAAAAGTGTAGCACTTAGACCTTCTTACTGAAGAACAGTGCTCAAAGATGATAAAATATGCATTTTAAATGGTCTTATCTAAGCACTCTGAAGTACAATATACTAGAGTGACTTTTGCAGGAAACTAAATGCACACCAAGTTCTGGATTTTCAGAAAAGCCTTAGATTATTAGGGGGACTGGGGAAGAGGAAAAGGAAGGTGATAGAGATAAAAACAGAGGATACCTCAAACTTAATCTCATGTATCAATTAATAATTGCTGCACAGTCATAAAATCACATTCTAATCACATTTGACTTGCCTTTTATACAATATACCCAGTGTGATATGATGATTTTTTTTTATTTTTCCACTTTAATCCTACACAAACCAATGTCAAGGCAAGCAAAGAACAGCATTTTTTTAATTCTAAAACCACATCACTGACACAACAGATTGCTGAAATCAAACTGGATGCTATGCAGAGCATGGCAACAGCTTTTGTTCAAAACTAGTGGCCCAACTTCAAAGCACAGCTCAAAACACACATGGAAGAGCACACAAGCAAATAGAAGTCCTGGGGGGAAAGAAAACAAAACACAAAACAATTGTCCACTAGCAAGTGGACTCACACAACTAAGCAAATAAGAGTGCTGTTCTCAGCAGCTGAGTTCCCTAAGGAAGATGTATGTGCTTTGAGCAGCTCAAAATTCCCATCTTTCTCCCAAAAATACTGCATGGCACATCCTGGCAAATGCCTTGTTTATGCTGAAGCTTTCAAAAGACCCATCTGAGAGCTACTGGTTCAGAGGCAGCAGACACCCTGAGAAAACAACCCAAGAAACAATTAAAAAAGTTTGATGACTACGTCAGCTTAAAGTAGCAGACAAAAAAATCTTTTACACCTCCACCTTAAAAGAAAGAACAAGGAAAAAAACCTGACAAATAACCACAATCCAAAACTCTCCACTGCTGCAGACTCTCCAACAAATTATTTCCAAAGCATTAAATTCACTAAACCTTAGCAGCAAATAATTTCACTCTGGGAGCTAGACATTTCCACAAACACACAGTCACTTATTTGTTGTAGCACCGTCCCTTTAAAAAAACTTTTTTTCTTTTTTTTTTTTCCATAGGAAACTTCAGGTCATGGCTGACTTTACAAGGGGATTAAAAAAAAAGATGTCTTGTTGAAGCAGCTTTACAAAGGGGAAATTTATCATGGTGAGGTGGCAGTAAACAGCTTAAACAAGGATGCTTTCCATCTTCATTGTAAACAGCAGAGGATCCTCCTAACACTTTATTCAACTACTACTAAGTTCAAGTGACTGTGATTTTGAAGAGAATTACAAGGCTATTGCTAATTAAATTTGCACTTTAATATTATCCTCAGCGTTTACAAATTTTGACTACCAATTCAAAGTGGAAAATTTGAGTTCAAGAGCTAAGATACTAAGATTTTTATACTTAGATCAGTATGAAATAGATCAGTTAACACTAAGTAACTTTTAGTAAAAAAAGGTAGGAAAGATAAAAGTATGGCATATTTCCCAATGCTTTGTTTCATCCCTGATCAAAGGAGGTGGTTATATGTTCTATTTACAGCATGTTATTCTCCAGTCCTGCTACAAAGGCAACCAGTTTCTCCCCGAGCCTTTATACAGTGATGGGACAAGTCATTCCTTCACCTGTAAAACTGGCAACTGAGGCATTAGGCTAATCAGACTAAAAGGTTCCCTGGCTCCACATGTCAAACTTCACATCCGCCGAGCCGGTTTTTACTGTCTTAAGTGAAATACAGGATTTTGCAGGAGGTTTAGCTCCCACTGAGTTCACTTGCAGTCTTGCATTTCTACAAATGGATACAAGTTCTCAAGCCAGCTACAACAGAGAGTCTGAGCAGCCACATAGGAACAGTCACCTGAGTGCCTCTTGTAGAAACACCACAACTGAGCACAGACAGCACACAATTCATCAAGCACCACTGAACTGTCTTAGCCACAAAGACTTTTTTTATTTCCCCAAATCTCAGCTTCCCTCACTCCACATTTTTCAACTTCCCTAACAGATGAATACAGAATATTTACTTGTACAAATCCTGGACTCATCCTCAGGATAGGCCCCTTTCCCCATTCCAGTCAAACAGTTGCCTCTTGGACAAAACACACAACACTTGTGATGAAGTTGGACACTAGAGTGTAATAAATGCAAAAGTCAGACTTCAATGTTTGAAAAAAGTGAGCTCTTGATTTCTGCCCCCTTACATTCCTATACTGATATTTGAGACTAACCTTATTTTCTTAATTGATGCTCACATAGTTCATTAAAACCTTGATACCTACTCAATGACTGAGATTTAAATGCAACAAAACCAAACTGAATGCTCAGTAGAAAAGGAAATATTGTTTTGCCAGTATGATACACACATTTTCTGCGACCAAAGGCATGGTATAAACCAGACAGACACACTCTCCCAAATTCTTCTTCTCCACATCTGTCATGCTCTTTCAGATGAGTGAAACAGTTTCTTTTTCCAGAGGGCCCAGGTCGGTCACCAGGGAGAAGGAACAGGACATGGGAATAGGCAGGGGTGATACAAGACACAATACGGCCCACTCCTAGCTCAGTGTCAGCACCCAGACCCAGCCGTCACAACTCGTAGCAGAAGTGGGATACTCTGCCTGGAGCATTCCCAGTGTGAACAGAATCTAAAGGAAGCTTACTGTGAAGTTTTAAGAAATTCCTATTAAGCCCATGCAAATGGCAATCTTTCAAAGCCTCGTAAACTGGTCTGGAAATTTGGGTGGATTTTTACAGGGAGGCAAAAGGCACATCCTCAACACAAAGGCTGAAGTATTGCCAAATTTCAAATCCTTGCTTTAGAGCTTGGGGGCACTGCAGCATCAAAGAAGGACACCAGAATATTCTCATACAAGCAAAACAGCATACTTTTCACTAGCCTTGTTCTTGGAACTGAACTGCTTTGGCTGAAACTTTAAAAAAACGCAACCCAAAGCAGATCTCTCACATGGAAAAAATCTGTCTGAACTGAGGTTGGGAAAAAGTCAAAGTAACCAAGAGTTAAGCCTTAAAATGGAAAGGGTCACATAACCTTAAGTACAGGTGGCACTGGCAGCTCCACACATAATAAAATACTACATTTAAAATCCATTTCAGTTGACTTTGCTCAAAATCAAGCTTGTTCTTTAAAAGCACAGACCACTGTATGTATATACAGACACACACACATACAGATATATTTATATTTCACCTCAACTCTACAGCATCAGTCCACTACGAGCAAATACCAGATTACGTTGCCTCCCATTTTTTTAATCTTGTGTAGATCATTAAGACTCAGACATAATTGTCTTCCAAGAAATTTTTAAAAATCAGCTTTATTACTAATCATCCGAGTGAAATTAAAAATTCAAAATTTCTTCCTGTTATGTGTTTTTCTAGAAAAGTTTTTTTTAAAAAACAAAAAGAAAACTTAGGAATGAATCAGTGCAAGTCAAGTATTGGTAACTCAGGACAGTTCCTGCAGCTCTAGACTAATCTTACAGTACAATATATTAAAAGCCCAGGGTTTGTGGCTTTTTTATATTTGCTTCTAATACTATAAATTTTTGTGACAATTGGAAAACAAGAAGACTATGAAAGTCAAAATGAAAGAACAAAGGGATAAAAATTGAAAGGGAAAAATCACTCACTTGTCCTTGCTGCTGTTATACTCTAGCTCTTCTCCTGCTTTCTCTCAGTTGCTTTCTTATTTTTCCTGCCCTCTGCATGCTAAAGCTTTACCTACGGACATATATTCTCAGCTCTAGGAATCCATGTCATTTGAAAAGCCAAAGGAAAATTAATGTTCTCAATGGAATTCTCCTCCCCAGCCTCTTTAAAAGCCCTTTTTCTTCACTTTATTGTATAGTCCAGAGGTTCTACAGAATTCCATACATATTTGGCAAGGCTACTATTGCAACTAACGAGTGTCCCACCATAGAAGACCACACAACAAAATAAAAATTAAAAAAAGAAAATAAGACCAAGGCAACTTGAGGCTACACTTCAGAGAGATGACTGAACACAAGACCAGAGCTTTTAGGAGGAAACTTCTTCTACAATCACTAGCCTCCTTATAGGCTAGGAAGTTATTTACTCAAAGGTTTTATAGTATTAATAAAATATTATATATTATTAATCCTACCTAAACTGAATATCGACCTCTTTTCCATACCCAGTGATATTTTGTTTACATTCTGTGGTATCTCTGAATGGCATATAACTCTAACTGCTACTTCTACTAAGGTTACAAATGCATCCCAAGCTTTTGGCTATATTTACAATAGGCTAACATCCTTGAAATAAGACTTTTCCTGCCCTTGAAAGTTATCTTTTCTGAAGATATAGAGAGGAAAACACTCACTGTAAGTAGTTTCACATTCAGTGTAATTACAAACACATCCCAGATGTATGCTAGACAGGGTTCCCAGCTCAGGGGACTAAATACATATAGGAAGAAAAAGCAGCTCATTTTTCCTCCCGACAGAAAGCTGAGAATTCTTGCTGCCATTACAGCTCCAGCACGAAACATGATTCTGAGATGTTTTTACCTCATCAAATTTCCATTTCATCAACTTTACTACTACATTTAAATGGCTGTGAAATCAAACAGCATTTAATTTTACTCCTACTTTT